GAAAAATCTTGGGAAGTTCTCCAGATTGATGCTGCAGAAAGAGGGCAGACATCTCTATTCTTTTGGTCCCACAGACGAGTAACTTGTTTAGTATACCTCATCACATAATCACTCATTTCTTCTCATCTGACCTTTACCGATTAATGATGATATGACCTGTCCTGATGCTACTTGGGGATCTACAATTTTATTCCTTGAAGGACAAAAAGCTGCTTCCTCCTCAATGCCTGCTCCACTAAAGCCTCATTTCTATTATACAGATACATATGCTCAGAGGCTCTTCTTTCTATCCTCATACCCCATTCTTCTATCCTCCAAGTTCTTGAAAGATAACAATTTCCTCTTGCTTCTTCAAATCATTTTTCTTTATTGTTGTTTTTCCATATTCTTTCTACAGCACCCCCTCCAGAGCCATTCCCTAAGCTTCATTTGAATCATGTTTTGGGGTCCCCAGAACGATGACTAACTGCACTATCTCAGGGTTCTAAACAGGTAACTTTGAAGAGCTGAGTTTCTAGTATTGATGCTCCTGAGACCTCTATTGGTGCATTCCCCATAAACAGTCAGTAGTCCTAAGTAGTTTTCAGCAAAGGCACTTACTGAGGTGCTATAACAAAAACAGTTGGTGCAAAAAACTCCCCCAAAAGCCTGGGACAGACCCTCCAACAAGTATGTATGGGTACATGGGAAGTGGAGGCTCATATTTAGAGAATCACAGCAGGGAAGCATGCATGTAAGATACTCATGTGGCAAAGAGATACCTCACAATTCCTGGTGTTTTATGACATGGAAGTCTTTCTGTGGTGTGAGGGATCTTCTTCCATCTTTGAGTGACTTAATCTGTATCCTTCTGTCCTCAGTGTGTCACTCAGCTGGATGTGTCTCCTACTGGTATAGTTTCTCTGATCCAAACGGGATGTAGTGTTCGCTACTAGTGCAGTCTTTCTGTTAACATAAATAATGGGGGAGGGAGGTAGTAATAAAAAAAACCTCTCTTCCCTCTAAGAATGATTCGCCTCCCAGGGACCTTGTTCTACCTCTGGAATCTTCAGATTCCAGACTTGAAGCTCTCCATCACCTTACTGGTTCACCACTTGCCTGAGTATTGTTTTAATATATAGGATCAGAGATGGGTCTGATTATTTCAGCTAATCATAAGTTTTTCCTGGTTGATATAATCTGCCTTTGGCCAATGGTTAAAGCACCAAAATCCTCTCAAATTAATTAGTGACCTATTCACACATCATTGTAGGTTATAGGAAAATTCCTTACCATCTATTATACACTAATGATTGATTGATTCAATTGAGATGTCTGGAACTGTTATGATTACATTAATTCATGTGGGAGAGGAACTGCCACCCTTATATCACCTTGAAGTGCTTCCAGTTTTCAAGGAATATATAATTAATCATTTAATTTAGATTAATTGACAAAGAATGAAATAAGCAGAACCAGGAGACCAGCCATACAATTATAGATACAATGTTGAAATCTATAAGAACTCTGATCAATGCAATGGCCATTCATGGTTCCAGAGGACCATTGAAGAAACATGTTGTTCAACTCCTGATAGAGTGATTGGCTCAGGGTGTGAAATGAGACAAACGTTTTTGTACATGGTCAATGAGGGAATTTGTTTTGCTTGATTATGCTAATTGGTTACAACAATTTTGTTCTTTTTCAATGAGATAGAATGGTAGGAGAGAGAAAATAGATTTCTGTTAAAAATGAAATTTAATTTTAAAAATAACTATCTCTGGTAAATCAAAAAGCAGACATTCAAGTTAATCCTTTTTTTTTTTTGACTAGACAATGGGGTTAAGTGACTTGCCCAGGGTCACACAGCTAGTGCATGTTATGTATCTGAGGCTGGATTTGAACTCAGGTCCTCCTGACTTCAGGGCCAGTGCTCTATCCACTGTACCACCTAGCTGCCCTGTTAATCCTTTTTCAATCTCTGATGTGAGAGAATGTGCACTTTGAGTATAGAGAGCTATTTGGTTATGTCAAAAAAGACAAACATCATGTACCATATTCAGATTATTGCATAAATTCCCTTGCTCTCCAATTTTGCTGGAAGCAAGAGCCTCAGTTTCCTGTCATTCTTGTTGGTAGCACTTGAGGTCAATTCTCATAGCAAACTTGGAGCCAGGAGTGGGGTGTGGGGAGAAGGGTAGTGTATGTTTGTCTAACTTTCTAGGGCTTTCATTGCCAGGGGGGCTCCTAAGGAGGACTGCATTTATTTAAAGTAATTTTCTAATATTTCCTCAGGAGATGAGGCTAGTTTTCCTAAATACTTCTGAGAGTTAATGGCTTCCTGCCAGATCTCTAGTGGGAACAGAAGTTGAGCTTAGTTGATATGCGTGAGATTTCTGACCAAATCCAATTATAAGCTACTTTGTCATTATTCCTACCTACCTCTTTTCTTCTCTCCCAGTCATTAGATTCTAGATGCTTCCTCCCATCTTTCCACTATTCTGCTGCTCTTTTTGTCATCAGAATTATTTCTCTCTATGAAAGTTTTATAAATGTCAACAACCATTTATCTGATAAAGAGACTAAAGTCTATCATGATCACTCTATTCTTGTAGCCCTCATAGTTTCAAAATTTGTAAGTTTCTGGAGACAGAAAAGAAATCCACCCATTTCTATGAAAAATTGCCAGGAAACAAGACTATGTTGCTGAAATTACTTATTTCTGTTTGGTTTCACAGATTATTTTAATGATTTATGTCTGGGTCTTAATTCATTTATCATTTTAAAAAAATTATCTATGTTCATTTTTAAAAAATGTTCTGCCTTGCTGCCTCACATCTGTATCTGAATGTGTGCCACAGAGCAAAATCATCTCTGTTCTCCAGAGCTCAGTGGCAGACTGAACCACAGAAGAGCTACAAGCCTTTGGCAGTGAGGTGCAACATAATGGCTTTAATTTCAATAGCAATACACAATAAGGTGCAGGGTGATTAAATACATTATGGTGCCAATTGACATTTTCTCACATTCTTCCTGTAGGTTATTAATTTGACTAATTCACCCATTTTAAAGGGACAGATTTCTGTAACTTTGTCTACAGTTGCATTTTGAACTAAAGACAAAATTTTATTTGGAATAATTTCCATTTTTTTTTGCTTTTGTATCTATAAGTCACTACGCTTAATAGGCATTTATTAAACACTTGCTGTGTGTTCAAAACAAAACAAAACAAAACTGTGCTAGGTGCTGGAGATTCATATATGAAACACTCCCTGCTATCTAGGAGTTTTATGTATTTATGTAGATGCATATTGGAGTCTTTGATGGAACCCCCTGCTTCAAAAGTCAGTTAGCAAGGGGCAGCTAGGTAGCACAGTGGATAGAGCTTCAGCCCTGAAGTCAGCAGGACCTGAGTTCAAATCCGGCCTCAGACACTTGACACTTATGAGCTGTGTGACCCTGGGCAAGTCACTTAACCCCAACTGACTCATCAAAAAGCAAAAAAAACGAAAAAAAAAAAAACTCAATCAACAAGCATTCATTAAGGGCTTACAATGTACCAGGCACTGTACTCATTCCTGGAGATACAAAGTAAAGAAAAAATTGTCCCTGCACTCAAGGATCTCACAGTCTAATGGGGAAGACAACATGCAAACTACTATGTGCAAAGTATATATATATGGTATGGGTGCATGCACACGCATATATATTCATATGTGTATATGTGTGTACATATGTGCATATTCATATATGTATATGTGTTTATCTTTCTATAGAGAGAAAAAGTGGGGGGGTAGATTAGATGTAGTCTGAAAGGGAAGGCGTTTTCATTAAGGAAGAAAGAGTTAAATGAGAAAATGTGGTAAAACATGATTAAACCCTATAACTATATATAATAGTACATATAGAATACAGAACTCTTTCCCTATAGCAAACCAGTGAGGTAAGTAGGATGAGTATTATCTGAATTTTATAGATGAGGAAATTGAGGCTCAAGAAATTAAGTGACTTTGCCCTTTGTTATACAGCAGACTAAATGTGAGAACTGGAATAGATAGTAGAGAGATGTGCTGCCTAGATAGAAGCTAAAATATCCTTTTTTTGATTTCATAGTCTCCACCTTCTTGGCTTCACAGCCCAAAGGCTCAAAAAGTGAATAAAACGACATTCGTCTATTTCCCAGCCAGATGTGAAAATATGAGACCAAGCAGGGAAAAGGGTTGAAGAAATGGGGCTTTATTGCCTAATACAGAGATTAAAGCAATTAGTAAATCTCCTTCCAAAAGGAGAGATGACACAATTGATTCACATTCATTGTTGACAAGATACATAGAAATACAATAGCTCACCTTTCTAGATAGCTTTATGAGAAGGAAGGAAGGAAACAAATATTTATTAAATGTCTATTATTTGTCAGGCACTATGCTAAGCTTTACAAATAGTATCTCAATTGATCCTCACATCAACCCTGGAAGGTAGGTGCTATTATTGCCCCCATTTTACAGATGAAGAATCTGAGACAAACAGAATTTAAGTGAGTTGCTTAAGGTCATATAACTAGCAAGTGACTAAGAGTGGATCTGAACTCATGTCTTCCTGACTCCTGACTTCCTGACTATTTTTCCCTCCATGGGGTTTTCTTAGCAAAGATAGCGGTTTGCCATTTCCTTCTCCAGTGGATCATTTTTGTCTTGGGTAATACTGTATAGCATAGCTCACAGTTTCATTGAGCTGCACAAGCCACTCTGCCACCAGGCAGTGATCCAGGAGGGGCCTTTTTAGGCAAATAGGTTGAGTGACTTGCCCAAGGTCACATAGCTAGTAAGTGTCTGAGACTGTATTTGAACTCAGATCTTCCTGTCTCCAGGACCATTACTCTATCCACTGAGATAGCTAGATTTAAACATGTTTTACATACATTATCTTATTTTACCCCAATCACAGTTCCAAGAAATAGGTAGTGCAAATATTATCTCCATTTCACAGATGAAGAAATAAGGCTTAGAGAGGTTATGACTTACCCCAGGTCATCATGACTAGTATGTCTCTGAATGGAATTTGAATCTAAGTCTTCTCATGCAAATTCCAGTTCTTTTTTCACAGTGCCTTTCTTCTTCTTCTAGAAGTAGAAAGACATTATGCCACACCTATGTAGTCCAGAGGCATGCATACCCTAAGGGAACAGAATCAGTTGTAAATCAGTCAGTCAATAAGCATTTATTAAGAACCTACTATATGCTATGTACTGTGTTGGGGATACAAAGAAAGGTAAAATACAGCCCTTGCCCTAAGGATCTCACAATCTAAGTAAATCCAGAGAAAGGTTGAAAACCAAACAGCTGAAAAGTTCTCTAGAATGTTTTTTCTAGATACAATTACCAGTATGTTACTCTCCCCCAAAAACCATGCCTTAGGAGACTTCTGTGCTTAGCTTTCTAGCATACCTGTTGCCAAATATAGTTTCTGGTGCAACCAGTATATCTTTTTAGAGGAAAGATTGTTTTATACTTGACATTAGCATCTAGGCACCTAGCATAGGCCCTGATATATAGTAGGCACTGAATAAATGCTTGCTGATTGAAGTGAACCAAAGATATCCTTGACTATACCTTCTGAGCCCTTCCCCCTTCTCTTGGGTGCTCAGGTGTCAGAAGTGATAATGAATTAAAGGGAATATAAGTAAAATGATTAAGATGTTATTAAAAATAGACCAAAATTTCATTTAGCACAGAGGTTTCCAAAGCAGGTAATACTGCCCCCTGAGGCATGCTGGAACATTCAGGGGGCGGCAGTAGCCTCAGGTGCAATTGGGGGGACATTGAATAAAAATAAGGGGGCAGTGGAAGCATAAAGAAAGAAGAGAAAATAAGAAAATTTTGAGAAACCATTCATACATGTTTCATCTGTTGTGTAACAGAGTTAGGGTTGTAGTGATTACATTATTTTCTAAATAAACACACAAAATCCAAGTTATAATTGATCAATGGTCAAGTCTGTTGACAAGTCTTAACAAGCAAGTGTTGGCAGGCAAGTGTTGTGCATTGCAGGGAAGTCCAGCATGCATCAGCAGGACTATGTGGTATAATGACTTGTTTACAATATGATACTATACGGTTACATGATGCAACATTATAACATCAAAATTTCATTGCAGGAAAAAACCCACAAATTTACAACAAATTATTAAATTGAAGATGCACCATTTAAAAAGTATTTTATATTTTTTGAAATGACACAATTAAAAAAAAAACATTAAAGGGTTAAAAAGAAAGCAGATTTCCAGGGGGGTGCTGAGTATTTTTTTTTAATGGAACAATAGGCCAAATAACTCTGGGAACCTGTGATTAAGCAGATAGAGTTGAGATAGGTTCTGTCTCAGTACACTAAATGAAGACTATAAGACCTTTCAAATGCCTTCCAGAACTCTGATTACATCAATTATTCTTTTGTACTTTTGAAGTCTTGGAGAACTCTGGAGAAGAAAAGTTTGTAACTTGCTATGGAAACTCCTTCCAATGTTGTTTGAAATCATATTGATGCCATCTTATGCCTTCAATTTGTGAAGTTAAAATCGGAATTGAGGTGAAGTGTTCAACTCAGGAGCTTTGAAGCTGTTCTCTGTTCATCCTGAGTTTCCTGTTTTTCACTGCGTCTTGAATCCACACTGGCTCCAGGGTAGCATGACTTGCAATTTAGAAATGTGTTTGGAGGTTCAGTGATATGAATAAACCATCATGGGGAAATGTGATTTGGATAAGCACAAAATCTAGAGACATGAGACATCTTAGGAAGAAATACTGCAAACTCTCTAGTCGTTGTTGCTGTTGTTTAATAGCCTCATGAATTCTTATAAAACAGGTTCAGATTGTCTCAGTGTCATGGACTGACAAAACTGGCAAGTGAAAACCACCACACCAACAAAAGAGGACGATGAGCAGGAAGGAGTGCCACTGAGAATGGGTACTTGGTGAGTTGCTAAAGGAATTAATATTCTGTCTTTGGAAACATCTTCACAGGATCTCTGGAATTAATGATACTTTCATGAAACTTACAGATGGCCTGACATATAAAAGCACTGCTAAGATATAGGGAAAAGGACAGAAAATGACCAAGTGAAGTTGGAAGCAGAGACAAGAAAGTAAAAAAAAAATGAAATTCAACTTGGAAACAGTGAAAGGCTACATGTGTGTAGAAAAATAATAAGAAACAGGGAAAGGGAGAAATCTGGAAAGCAATAAGGTCAATAAAGACATAGAGGGGTAAGATAATGGATCATAAATCAAATACTACCAAAACAACGTGACAATTAGCCTCTGAATAATTGTGGTTGCTACATGGAGAAGCTTATATGAGGGCTCTGAACGACAGGGAAAAGACACCTGCAGTAATATTCAGTTTAGAAGAGAGTTTTTCTTTTCTTTTTACATAAGGATTCAAAGGAACTGGAAGGAGTTCAAAGAAGAGCAGCTAGGATAATTAAGAGCTTGAAGGGATAGATTTATGTGGTGAGAGGAAAGAAATAAAATATGTAAGTCTTGGCTAAGTGGAGGCTAAGGGAGAGCATAATTGTGTAAAAATCTTTAAAGGATTTAAATGCTGAGGCAGTAGGGAATGATTTAACACGATAAAAGGGAATTGAGGCAGGGCACATGGAGATTAATAGGGACTAAATAAGGGGAATCAGAAAGAGGAACAGGCTTTGGAGGACATCTAAATCACTGGGCAGACCATCATGAGGTACACAAAGACATAGAAATCACTCTGCCTTTAAATAATTCAGGCTCATTGAAAAGATGCAGATGGAAATAACTACTATTCAGTGTACAAGTAAATAGGTGATGACTGAGGGGTTCAAGCACAGCGCTCCAAAAGTACAGGGGAAAGCAAAATCACTTCTGGCTGGAATGATAAGAACAGGATATGTGGGTAGCGTTTAGGTTGGGCCCAGTCTCCTAGCTGGTCTTTCTATTTCCAGTATTTCAACTCTAATCCATCCTCTCTTATAACCCTGCAGATAACCCTAAAATGCCATTCCCAATGTATCACTTCTTTGGTAGAATATCTTATCCCCTATGCAAAGTTAGGCTAGTTTTTTTCTTAAAGTTATTGAGACCAACAAGCAGACATGGTTGGCCCAGGGTTGACCCAGGCTGTTGACATCACCTTCAGTCGCTTAAGTACAAAGCAGCCATGAGGAGCTCCAGGCACCCTCTCTGATATTTAGACCATGATGGGCAACCGGCAAGGAAGCTCAGCTGAATCAATTTGTGGTATCCTCAGTGCATTTCCTTGTTCAGTATTCTTCCACTAAGTCATTTGTTAACTGTTTAATGACCTATGAATGATTCATTTTGTTGACCAGAAACTACAAGTGTACTGGCCATTTTGTTGTTGTTGTTGCTGTTTGCTCATCTTTTCTTTTTTGCTCTTTTTCCTTTCTTTTAAATTTGTTCTCCGCTTCCAGGGTGGAAGGGGCTCTGTCTCAGGCTTCTTGTGCCAGTGGTCACAGGTCCTGGCTTTTTAACCTGGTGCTTAGCTGATGTTGCCCTGAGGCCCATGGGAGACCCTTTTGTCTGGTGATGTGTTGAGGGGGTAGAGTGAGGAGTGCTGGTGCTACTGGAGGCCATCAGAGTCTAGCAACTTACACAGCTGAGCTGGGGTCCTAGTGGTGGTGTCTTGTGTGTGCTAAGGCATGGTGGTATTTTTGTGCTCCCCTGGGACTACACTGAATCCTGTGGAAATCTAGCCACCAGAGGATGCCTGTTTGCCCTGGACTGTGCTGAAGCACATGGAGGTCTGGCTGCAGCAGGACACCTGCGTGGGGGCAATGCTGAAGCACAGGGAGTTCTGGCTGCTGGAGGATAGCTGTGCTGAAGCACATGGAGGTCCAGTGCTGGGGGGTGCCTGTTTCACTGGAGCTATGCTGAAACATATAGTGGTTCTCAGAGCTGGAGTCCACTGTTTCTCCTGGTTATGCTGAGGCAGATAGGGGATCCTGGTATTGGCATTTGCCTGTTCTACTACACTGGGGCTCAGGATCTCCCACTGGTCTGCTGAGGTGGGGCTTGGTGCTGGCTTACTGGGATGCTTCCTTTTCTGGAACGCGCTCCCCTTTTACCTGAGTGAGACATACCTTTCTTGCCAATCCTTCAAGTCTCCCAGGCTACAAGATCACTCCACCCCATCTTTCCACTGGCTCGGCTCTTCCAGAATTTGTCCTGGGATGTTATTTAATGGTCATTTGGAGGTGACTATGAGAGAGCTACAGCGATTTACTGCCTACTCTGCCATCTTGGCTCTTAGAGGTTGCAACTCTGAGAACATTATTTTGGTAGCTGGATGAAGGACAGATTGGAAAGAGGTGAGATCAGTTAGGAAATTATTAGACAAAAGATGAAGAGGGCTTGAGCTATGACAATGAAAAGGAGGGAATATATGCATGAGAAATTGTGGTGGTAGAACCAATAGGGATATTGCCGGCACTTGGCTAAGTAGATAGAGCCCTATGCTCATCATTAAAGGAAATGCTAAATTTCTATCAGAAGCTAGATTAATTAAATTATACAGTTTTTTTTCAGTTGCATACCCAATTCATTGATCTGCTCTTTCTCTATTTTATTGATGTATGAATTTAGAGATACAGACTTTGCCCTAAGTACTGTTTTGGCTGCATCTCACAAATTTTGTAATGTTGTCTTATTGTTGTCATTCTCCTTAATGAAATAATTGAATGTTTCTGTGATTTGTTATTTGACACACTCATTCCTCAGGAATAGATTATTTAGTTTCCAAGTAACTTTTAATCTGTGTGTCACTACCATTCATTAAATGTAATTTTTATTACATTAAGATCTTAAAAGGAGCACACATTATTTCTACTTTCCTTCATGTTTGTAAGGTTTTTATGCCCTAATACATTGATACTTTTTGTTAAGGTGCCATATACATCTGAGAAAAAAAAGGTAATTCTTTCTATTCCCATTCAGTTTTCTCCAGAGGTCTATCATATCTAACTTTTCTAAAATTTTAGTTACTGTTTTGACTTCTTTCTTGTTTATTTTATGATTAGATTTATCTGCTTCTGAGAGGGGAAAGTTGAGGTCCCCCACTAGTATAGTTTTACTTTCTTTTTCCTCTTATAATTCAATTAACTTATCCTTTGAGAATTTGGAT